AGTACTAAGAACCCGCAAGATCATTTAGGAGCAATGACGAGAAAATAACCACGAATCTTCAACAACACAAACATATGTGAAACTTACGACTTACAGAAAGAACGAAAAATTAAGGTTCTTTAATACTGGGAAATATTCAAGAACCACACGTTCAACACTAAAAACACTATCATAGGTACAAAAAATTACCGTCAGTTTAACTGTTTTAAGGGGTGTCCACAAACTTTGACAATAACTGCCTCCATTTTTTTCTTCTTTCTCGACTTCCGAATCAACTTAAGGTTTTCATGTACTAGGATAATTTTAAGCATTTGCTACTTTAATTTTACAACGTACACAACCAAATGTTTGTATACGGAGTAACGACTAATTAACAGCATCGTGTTGATTATGTATTTTCATATAAACATATTCTAAATATATAATTCACTAGTTTTCGTGGTCCGCTTGACCAAATAATATCTTTCAATGGAACTTTACTTGGAATACCTGGAAAAATGGCAAAAATTAGGGAAATTCAAAAGGTGCGGTTGAGATGGGAAGTTGGTGTCCGAGCGGATCGAAGTCCCAATAGCTCAAGTGGAAGAGCAGCGGCGTATCTAGCCGAAGGTCGTGGGTTCGAATCCCGCTCGTGACACTGGCCTTTTTATTTCAACTAAAAACCTTAATTAAATGAAAGATCTAAATATATACTAAATTTGATTTTGTCTATGTTTATTATTTATTTTATTGATGGGAAAACTCATATTCTGCTAGAAAATATTTACCAAAGTGTAGCAATAATTGTCAACTTTACTGTTAGCAACAACTGTTTACAATATATTCTCGATAATATTAAATTACATTTTGTAGCATTCAGATTGAATTATTTTTGTATTAAACGTTTCATTTTTTGATGACAGACTAATGGAATGTTTTTAGAATTGAGTTAAATGAATGTCACTTGGAACGAAATTTCTGAATAATTCCTTCTAGCAGTTCTTGATTTATACGGCGGATAATAGAGACAAAATATCCTTTCTGTTTTAACACTACGATATTAATTTCACAGCGAATCCTTTTTAGTTATTACTGGCGGTTAAATATTATGAAATGGCTTCCCTCTTGCGTGTAACTTGTTTATAACAGCCATAATTTTAACTATAAGAGACGGAGATGATATACTGATTTTATAAAAGCGTCATTGACGAAGGGAGTGTATCCTAAGGTGGGAAGAAAGTCCACAAAATTTGTCTGCCACAACAGTCGTCGGTTCAGCAATATTAGACATTTGGTTGGTTTTATAGGTTGGTGGATGAATCTACCCCCAAGGTGAATGGAAAAAAACTCTTTATTTCATACCAAACGTTTCAAGGATTTTTTTTTCAAGACTTATAAAACCTCTAAAAATGATACAATTTAACGTATCCTTAAATATTGATTTATAATTTTTCCTAAGTTTACTTTTTTTGTTACATTTATTTGTTATTTACAACTACAAATATGGTTACTACTGATATTAAATAAATATTTGTATATCCGTTGATTTTTTAAACGACCCCCTTTTATTTCTTTTGTTTGAAAATAATTTGGTTTTTACATAATTTTCACGTTGAATTTGAATCTGAACTCAAAATGTTATTCAACGTACGATACGTCCCCAGGGCGCATCATTTTTTTTTTTTTTTTCAAATGGAAACGTATCATTTTGAATACGGAATTAAATTCTACGACATCTTTTTAAGAAGATTTTACTTTTCTTGACACTTTTCTTGTAAAGTTTGGCGTTTAAGAATTATTAAGGTTTGTAAAAACAGTTAAAATTTTATTTATCTTAATCATTTACTTCCTAGAAACTTTATTAATTTAATCCTGGTAAATTAAATTAAATTAATTAAACAAAGTAAAATCCTATTATGAAATTCATTTCGCACTTCACGGAAAGTATCTGGTGTTATACGAATATCGGCAATTGTGACGATTTAATTTTTTGGTTTGTGAGTAAACGTTGAATAATTTCTCTGAGATGATTTTCAGGATTTAAAAGATGATTTGTTATGGTACAGTTCATCTCCATTTAGTTTTTAAAGTCTTAATTGTGTTTCCGTTGAAAAAAAATTAATTTACCGAGGTGGTTTACATCTTAGGAAGATAGGGTAAAATTAATTTATTTTTATGGAGCCACCCATAATTTTCACGAAGCTGAACGCGTGTTTAATTCCGATCAACCGGATCGTCTAGTTGTTAATTGTTATTCCAGGCAACTAATCAACAAATTTGAACAAACAGGAACAATCATTAATAAAAAGGAACAGGTACGTTTTAATAATAATAATAATTATTATTATTATTATTATTATTTATTATTATTATTATTATTATTATTATTATTATTCAGAAATCGTGAGATGTGGTTTTTCTGAAACCTACATCACACCAGACCGCTCATAATTTCTGAATAATTATCGATTAACGGTCACTATTCACCACACAATAATAATAATAATAATATACCCTAGCCATTAAAACGCCCTTAAAAATTAATAATAATAATAATATAATAATAATAATTAAAAAAGCAAATTTTGATTTAATTTTTAAACACGGTAGATATTAATTATTGCCGTCTTTTCTTTTAAAGGGGGTGATAAACTTTCAAAAGAAGTGGTATTCGGCGTTTTTTCGACTTTGTCGAAACCTCTAACCTATCATGCCAGCAAATCGTCGAAGAGTTCGGTCCGAAATATTCTCAAGAAAACAATTTTCATTCATACAAAATTCAACTCCATTAAGAACTTAAGACCCAATTTTGTGAAACTTTGGACAACAGAATTACAGTTGAACCCGGTCTGATACGAAATCCGCCCATTCACTCTAAAAGATATTATAGCGTAATACTAACCTAAATCGGTGGGTCTGTGGAGTACTCGATATTCCTGCACAACCCACCCATACACACTCACTTTCNATTGGTTTGAGAAATTTGAAATTAAAAAATGTAAAATTGAACATGGTGATAAATGCATTAATAATATAACAGATTTTGATCTACCTCCCATTTTAAATATGTGCATAAATAATATCAAACATCCAAATAATTAAACTAATTATTTTAATTGTTATTATTTTTATAGTAATTTAATAATATTAAGTATTTACTAGCATAATATTAATTTGTTTTATAATTTCCGCGTTTCGCACGTTCAAATTGAGTGCCATTAAAAAAATCAGCTGCTAATTGGAACGTCGCGTTGGCGGAGGTATCGGCGGGTTCACTTTGGCAATTCATGTCGAGAGACGTGGTTGCAGAAGTCCTTCAACCTGATGATGAGCTAAAAGGCTCGAAATCCGGGTCGTTGCAAAACAACTTACTGTGAGTGTGATCACCATCATCATCAAACTATCTTTTTAAAAAGGATTACACTCACACATTCTCGCCAATAAATACACTCACTTCAGGAAGGGAAAAGGAAACCACGTGTGGAGAAGCATTAAAGGCGACCATATGCATTTATTTGCTCCAGATATTCGATTACTTTCTTGCTGTTGTCATTGCTGTGTTGTAAACTTGTTACTATCACATTACACAAAACATACAATTAATATCATAGTGTAAAAAAGAAAATATTTGTATGTTGATATTACATTAATATTTGTATTTGTATTAAAATATTATCGGTTGTCTTTACTGGTTTGGCGGGATCAACGTTCTTTGAAATGTGAGCAATAATAGGATTTTAAAAGGAGGGATTATTTTAATATAATTTGTTTTACTATTGATTTGTAACAATTGTTTATTTATTTTGGAAATAACAATCGTGTTGCAAATCTGCAAGTTATAGTTAGTGTGTTGATTAAAGTTAAAAGATCTCTATCAGCCTTTAAAGTTTTGTAATTAAACCCTGATGGAATATAACTTTTCATTTAATATTTAAAGATAAGACGAAAGTGAGTCACAAAAAACGGAACGTTGACAAACAAATCCCTCAATTATATTCACGATAGCTGCTTGTATTAATTTAATATGTTATCCCACTGAGTTCGTAAAAAACAGTAAATTGGTAAAGTTTTATTCGTAAATTATCTGATATTTACGTTTATGACCACCGCAGGAGCATTCGTGGGGGATGAGGAGATATGGTAATAACCATAAACGTTGGCGTTTACTACATCTCAGAGGAATAATGAACTCTGACAGCACAAAAAAAATTTCTTAAGGCCGAAGTAAACAGTATGTTATGAAATTACATCGAGTTCATTGAGAAGACGGAATAAAGCAAAATGGGCAGTAATTTTTAAACCGAGAAACTGAAATGAAAGGTATATTAAACCCTGCCACCTATTCACATTAACTCGATTCCACAATTCATTTCAGCCTTCTTTTTATTACGAAAAATAATGAACGGGAAATTTACTTTCTTAAATTCTCCAAAACACGTAAATTTTTATTTACTATTTAGCTTTTAAAATTTTGAACAAGTCGTCGACGTACAGGGTGCCTGCATAAAACAGAAACTTTAATTTTCATTTTGCAATTTAAATTTTTAATTATAATTTTAAATACGAAGGTATATATTGCGGTATATCTTTCAATGCTGTATTAAAGTTACTAATATTTTTTAACTGTTAGTCACGATTTATTAAAAACTTACGATCATTTAAAAGGATTTAAGAGATGTACAGTATGTGGCGATGATACTTCAGAGCGAAAATTCCAGAAGTGATTTACCTAGTTTCGAGAAGTTGTAGAACGCTCAGGAGACCAACAACGACCAAAGATTTAATTAAAATTAATACATAGTATAGTATTGGTCGTAATAAGAGCAAGTGTAGTCTCCCAATTACTGAAACTTTAGGACGTAAGCCTCTCGTTATTGCTTCCTAACCTCTAAATAAGGATCGATTTTGTGTGGTTAGTTCAAATTCTATACAGTCGTCAACCATCTTAGATCCGTAATATGGTAAAAATAATATAGTCACATTTAATTTTATGCACTACTAAAAGCAATAAAATAGCTTACCTTCCTCCTGAGGAGCCGAGGTACTCGACATGCGTACGGTACTCGATCCTTGTGGGGCGAGGAGTGTACCTATGAAGGGGTCTGAGATAACGTGGAGGCGGGGGTACGGGAGGTTGGAACAGGTCCCTCCTCGTGTACGGGTCGACGTATCGAGCAGGTACAGGTCCATTGTACCTCTCGTACCTCGGTCCTGGTGGGACGTACCGCTCGATAGGGGAATACCTGTCTCCAACCACCCCGTACCGACCCCCCTCAACAATACCCCCCTCCTCGCATCTGGAAAAAATAAAAACAACAACGTTAGTTCGCCTCGCCAATGAATTTATTAAAGGGAAAATTGACAATTTATAAACCAGTTGGGTGGTTAAATATTAACTTGGGTTACTGGAAGGTAGCCGTGGCCTTTCAATTATTGAACTTACAGATCGATGTGCGCCGGACTCTTTCGTGGAATGGAACGCTATTTTTTTTTTTTTTTGTTACAAAAACATGGGCAAATATTGCCTCGGCAAAAATAGGAGAAACATTAACGTAGGTTTGTTATTAAATTGTATTTTATGAAGAAATGGAAAATACACACCCTTTGTTTTGCAAAATTTTATTTTTAATTCTTCAAAAAAACGTTTAATAATATATCAATATTTACTATTATACAAAACGGTTATAAATAGTACTATAAAGTACAAAATATGCATGGAAGATTAATTAATACTTTTATTGCCAAAACGTAATCCACGAAAGGCACCAGTAAAACAAAAATAATACACCAATGCACGCACCTCACCCTCATTGATCTTATAAAACAGACTTAACAGAAATAACATAGGCTGAACGCTGAAGATGGCGAAATGCCGAAACGTAACTGACAGACCAATCAAGATAGAAAGACGAATAATCAGTAACGATAAAATTACTAATATTCGAGTTCCTCTATTATTGCAATCTACTGGTGCTATTATTGTTTGTTAGACCACCACAATTTTAATATTATTATTCTAAAATAACAAAAACAATACCAACACACTTGTATATTTATTTTTATTAGATTGTAGATTAAGATTGAAATTTTAAATGATATATAATTAAAGTAAACAACCGAACTATTATGTTATAAAGAAAATAAAAGATTCACAGATTGAAATCATACTCTTCATATACACATATTTCATACATTCACATACTCATGCAAGAGAAACATGTGTAAGTACATATATTAGGAATAAACCAATGATTGGATATGGTTGTCACCTTGACACAAACACCATTAAATTACCGTATAAATAAAGTCAGGAACAGCCTCAAATAACTGGTTAAACTTTAGATTCACCCTATATAAAGTGAAATTAATATTAAATAAGTTAATTATTGAATGTATGTGGTATATATGTGCCAATAAAAGAAGTTAATAATAGCAATACAAATTTGACATGCGTAGATAAAGTTTTACAGTTATTTAGGGGGTGTTTACATCTACACAACATGGGTATATACAGCGATGATCTCATTTGCAGATTACGTAATGAGGAGGAGGAAACAGCCACTCATATCATCTTCGAATGCGAAGCAACAGCTCAATGGAGATTTAACCTAACGTACGGAAAAAACTTAGGGAATCAAATTGCAGCAGCGATAGTCAATGACCTAAGAAGAAGGATTGAGTCTATTGCACTGAACTTGGAAGGTACAATAAGCCAGAAGGATGCAGTGCCTGGGGAGTGCAAACCCCGCTTCCTAGTATCCGTTTTCACCAAGCCACCATAGGGGTTGTTTAACCCTTCTCCAAGGAATATCGAGAACTCTTGGGAGAGTGAATGTTACCCGACATCTATGTCGTGTAGTATATTAATTTATTGTTTTGTTTCTATTCTGTATTTGGCAACCTGAGGTACAAACGAGAGGCTAGCATTTTAGGATATCACCATAGTATACATTTAAAAGCAGACAGTCAGTAACCAGATCAAGACGCTCAAATGGCTGAAAACAAAATACGCGCGAAGGACCTTAATTTCCTGCCTCTGAAAAAATTACAGACATCGCAATATGTATAAACTAAAAGTGTCAACATTATTCAGAAATCGTGAGATGCGGTCTGGTGTGATGTAGGTTTCAGGAAAACATTTTCTTTATCGTGCCAACGTTTCGATCTTTATTGAGATCATCTTCAGGGCTCAATAAAGATCGAAACGTTGGCACGACAAAGAAAATGTTTTTCTGAAACCTACATCACACAAGACCACATCTCACGATTTCTGAATAATTATCGATTAACGGTCACTAATCACCACACACAGTGTCAACATTAGCATATTCACATTGATTTTTATTATTATTGTTATTATTATTATATATATCGCCCCTCCCCACATGGATAAATTACAAGCCTTAGTTGAATCCTGGCGAGCAGACGAAACGCGTCTGAAAGTCAAAATCACCCGAGGATAGGCAGACCAAATAGACAATGACAAAATTTCAGTTTCATCACAAATTAGACAATACGGAGAAATTTCATAAAAGATTCCTGTTGAAATTAAGGTTTTTTCAAATTTAGCTCCACTTCGTTATGACACAAAGATTGGTTGGAACACGGTTAGATACGATTAGAGGTCATGCGGTTGTCATAATGATTACCACGGTTCACTTTGAGGTCGGGCGAAACTTTCCAATCACTGACACGACAGGTTTTGACAGGAGTTTGATATCACTGTTCCAGTTGGTTATCCTGTCAGACGCGCTCATCATCCTGACTTTAAATAATAAAACGATTCGTTAGAAAAATAGTTTTTAAAGACAGATTTGATGGGCGTGCAATTTTTTAATCAATTGTACACCTACGTGTCCATGCAATGACTTCTACTTAGTATGTTTATTTTTGGTTCAGCAAATATGCAAAGGACACGCTTTGCCTGTATAACGCCTGTATCTAATCACTTTTGGAGAAACTAAACTCATCAACTCGATAATGGATTTGAACGTAATATAGACAAGACAATGCTAATCCGGATTAAATGGACCTATTAGCCATTAATTAGCCGAGAGAAATACATTACAAGAAGAGTACATTATTACAGCTGTACTGTTATATTTTACATAACTATTGTTATTAAATCCACTATATTGAATGGTATATTGTCCAAATTACTTCTTTCAATTAATTAATCTTTTTACGTATGGTTTTGGTTCAAATGAAAAGTTAGTGTCACGAGCATTTTCATTTCGGCCAAAACCTTCCATAAAAAGATTAATTAATTGAAAGAAGTAATTTGGTCAATAGACCAATAAATATAACGGATTTAATGAGTAAAACGAAGTATAACTTCACCAACAGCTCCCCGTGGCCACGTCATATGTCGCCAAGAATCGAATCCTGATTTCACATTTGACAAAAAGGAGGGAAAATTCGAAAGGTTGTAGCTTGAGATGGGGAGATGGTGTCCGAGTGGATCGAAGTCACAATAGCTCAAGAGGTTTGATTAGCGCCGTATTGAGCCGAAGGTCGTGGGTTCCAATCCCGCTCGTGACACTAACTTTTCATTTCGACCAAAACCTTACATAAAAATATTAATTATTATTAAAATGAATTGAAAATAAAATATTATATATTTTAAAATAAATAAATTTTGTTCATTAAACCTTTAGTTTACTGTTATTATTCCATATATTTTTTTGCTATACTAATCAATGTAAAATTGTTTTAAATTTACAGAACAATATTCGAAATCTAATTGAAGTTTTACGACAAACATATATGAGCTTAGGACAGAGCTACTTACATATTTACATGCATATTCATTGAATAGGAAGTAATAATTGTTATCAGAATAATTAAAAAAATAACGGAAAGGTTTTTTCATGGTGAATGATTTAAAAAAAAAGGATTTTGTTCAGTTCCTCACTGAAGATGGGGCAATGCCGAAGCGCGTTTGAATAACTCAAAAATCACGCGAGTGGAGACAGACCCAGTAAGTAACCCTGTGCCGGTTCAACGTGCTTTTAATTAAAGTCATTATTTACTTGACAGTAGATTTCTTTGCTTGTTTTAGTTTTGAGTCACCGCCGTCGAAAGAAATTAAAAAGCGTGGCCATATTTTTAAATTGATTCCTCTTTCACCGTAGTAAAATTGAAGATGCAAACGGCCAGAAAACGTTTCCGCTGCTTATTTCTTCATTAAAACTTTCTCAAACAACGCGGCTATTCCAAGGCAAAAAAGTCAATGTAGGGAGAAGGTTCTGACGTAAAAAAGAGAAAAGTGGATGTTTCGTTGAATTGCCTTTGAACGAATGAGCCCGTTTTTTATTTAATCAAAACTATAATGTTTTAATTTAATTTCTTGTTAACGTATATATTTAATGTAAAGACAAAGCTTTAATTATAAAATGTAGATAATTAACATTGCATAATTAAACAAGGTTTTGCAAAAAGGAAACATAACTGCACCAGAATACAGCGTGGATAATTTCTTACGAAGGTACTGTAAGATATGTAGGGAAAATGACATAACATTATAACTGACTACTACAATACGACTTAAATATGTAAATAAAAGTTATTTAGTACACAAGATTGTATCGTGGAAAAACGAATGAAAAAAAAACACAATTTACCTTAATATAGTATATATAAATAGGTAAAAATACATATAAGATAAATAATTAAAAATACATTTGAATAAGTAAAAAATAAATATTGTTATGACAGGCAATTTCAATTTCTAACTAGAGTAGATTAAATTACAGGTTTATTTCTCCTGTTTTTCCATTTATTTGACGTGGGTAAGCCCCAATAGATATGCAAATCGGATTTGTTGTGAAGATCTAAAAAATTGTTTGACCGGGTTATGTATTTTCTCCTTTATCCATTTCATATCTCAGTAAGCCTTAAATTTCATGGAAAGGCAGTGGCCAAACGCAAAATGTTATTTGGAATCACTCGTAACCTATTAATGTTTATTCAGCTATTAAAATTCCATGATGGGTTACGCATTTAGCAACATAGGCTTAACTATTGTCTTAAATATTAATAATTTCTTGGATAGTGTTACTCCACGCACTCCCCTGAGCAAAGGGAATAGAAATCTATATGATTGTTTATGTGCGCTCAAATAAAATAAATTGTATTTAATGACAGAGAGCACAAAAGACAATTTGACTCTAAAATATTTATATTTATTAACTTATCTTCCATCTCTCAACTTGGATATTCAAGAAATTATCAATTATTCAAGAAAAGTGGAATTTTTATATGTAAAAAGAAAATAGGATTGGGCTTTGGATGTAACCTGGACGAACACTCTTAAAATTGCCGGCAATCTTGGACGAATTAATAAGGGCAAAAGCAAAAAGTTCTGACGGTTACTAACCTTAAAAGAAGTACCTAAATTTCTGATGTTTATAAGTACTTAGTTAAGTAAGAACTAATTAATAACAAACGCTGATTTTCAATCTCGTTCGATGATGGTACCCTTTCCCCTTTTATTATTTTGTAAATATAATTTATTTTCTGTATTCCCCCAAGTTATTTGTTAGTCGATATTGTAAAATATTTAATTATAACATGTTTATATTATTATTATTTTTTGAAAATGTTTTATTCAAAAAGTAAAATTTAACTTTTCTTTAAAACATATCCGTAAATGATTTTTGTGTGTGTATACATTCTGATTTAAAATGGGTAAACAGCATCACTGTACCAGCCTTCAACAAAAGGAATTAGAAACATGGCCTTTTAGTTTGGCAAAACGGATTTATTTATGAGTTTTGCATGTCTGAACTGCGTTTCCTCTTTGCCAAAAGTTGATATGGTTTGGACTTAAATTGCGTAGATTATTAATTTGCTCTCTTGTGCAAACGTTTTCCCCCCAGTTAGAACTCTCTTTCACTCTTTCGATTGTGTAACTTAAAAAAATGTTGCAGCTTGCTTGCCAGATGAAAGTTGTAGTTTTTCAACGGAACGGATTCTCACAGCGTCGGAAAGTGAACTATCCCCAGTATATAATGGTGATTTTTATTATTATTATGTAATTAGGGTTGTAAAACTTTTAGATTTGTTTTGTCACAACCTCTAACCGAAATAAATGTGTTATTATATTGAAAATAAAGCATTATTGTCAGGTTTCTTGTTGAGGTTTGAGGTGGTGAACCTGTCATTTGGTCGTTTTTATCATCCTAAGTCGCCAACATTTACTGGTTTTGGTCTTGGATATTCGGTCAAGATACGTCTGAGTTTATTCTACAGCGGGCAATGACGGTCATGCATCTAAGAGTAAACCCAAGGGACTTGACGGCCGTGGACCCAAAATCTTATATACCTCCGGCCAATCAGGTATTCTCAGCTGTGTTTATGTTGGTCCTTAGTGCTGGATTTATTGTTAGTCTGAGTTTATTGGACAAGTTCGTTAGTATGTAAGTTTTTCCTGTATATTTGAATATTGTCTATATGTTGTAGTTTTGTGTTTCTTTTTGTGCTTTTTTTAGTAGTTTCTGGACAGTGCTTGTTTTATTTTTTTATTGCTATATTTGTAGTTCTTTGTTGTAATTTCCAGTGTTGAGTGAGATTGTTTCTAGTCATCATGTATGATAGTGCAGAAATTTTGTGTTGTGTGGGTGGTTGGATTGTGCATTTGTGTGGTTGCAATCGACAACAGAAATACACACAGGATGCATAAATAAAACCTAGTGTTAAACACAAAAGACACCGACAAAAAATAACGAAATTCACACACCTTCCTCCTTACGATCTTATAAAAGTGTCTTAACTCACAAAAATCACCCAAATCCAATACTGAAGATGGCCATACGTCTGACAGACAAGCACAGCAAGGATAGGCCAACATGATAGGTAACTACAGATTACAGGTTCATCAGCCCACATGGAAAAATCTCACAAAAATAAACGAAAAATATAAAAAGTGATGAACATTTTTGAGAGTCTACTAGGTTTTTTACTTTTGTTAATATGCTATCAAATATATACACCAAGACCAAGTCGGATTACACTTTATTATTGATTGCATTATAATGCGTAAACTACGTTTCTTGTAATTATTTGGACTATCAGTATTATTTAATTGACTGTTTATTTGAAAAATGAATGCAAAAAAAGAACGTTATTACACTACTATTATGGTAAAATATAGTTATTGTTTCTACTAACTGGCTCAAATGTCTTCAAATAGACTGAAAAAATGGGTTGAGGCACGATGATGGGATAACATTTTACAGCACTTTATAGAAATAACGGGCAAAACAGGACACTTTTATTGACATAACGTACAATGCATACAAAAGCATATGAAGTGTGGAACAAACAGCGAGGAGTCGAGAAGGAAACGGGGTACTTGTAAATCTTGACGATGGCCCTGCGCGGGCGGGGGATCATTGGTGGGCGGCTGCGGTGTTGGGGGTGGGTTTGGGGTGGTTTAGGGGTTGGACGGCTTTATTCCGGCCTTGACCGAGTCTGCGACGGTGAAATCTCATCGCAACCCCGGCAACACAAGGATTCTAACATCTCCACCCGACGTGCCTTCGGGCGTTTGTCGGTTTCATCGACCAAATATAAAAATCCGTATCATCAGTTGCGATAAAATACCAGAAAGAAATATCGCAAGAAACAAAAGCCAAGGTTTAAGATAATTCTAATATATTGTGAATCTTTTTATAGATATTTATAAATAATTTATTATAAAGATTGTTTAAAAAAAGTAATTTTTCTACACGCTTTGTCTGAACAAAACTTAAGAATA